CCGGCATGTGCGTTATGCAATACGCACATTGCCATAATTATTCCAAGTGGTGTCTGACTCGTTTATTGCGTGTAAAGAACATGCACAGAAAACAGAGCTCATCGTGACAAGATATCCCCCAGATATAGTGTTAAATAAAGGAAGCGATAAAGAAATTTTCTTATTCTTCTGATGTTGTGAAGGTGGAAAAACGCAACTTTACATGTTTTATTTATGTGTGTCACATAACTCATGTGAGAATCAAACCATACTCCCAAATTCCGAGAAACAGGAACTGGGGTCACGGTGACGTCACCGACAAACAACTTCTCGATGCATACTTTGTTAAGCTGCCGGTGGGTACCCAATAACATGAACTCTGTCTTGTTGTCGTTCAGTTTCATCTTATCTGTAATCATCCATGCCCGAAGAGCCTTTATACACAACTCCATCGCTTCGATTGCCTCCGCCTCACGTGTTCTGCTGTTTGGTTGAAATGACAAGTAAAGCTGTGTATCATCCACAAATGCGTGTACTGTTGGTAGATATTTCTTAATTATGTCAAACAGCTTACTAGAGTAAAGTCGACTGTCCCTCACCAAACACAACACGTTGAGACCTGTTTGTAAGATACGATCTAAACCACTCCAGAACAGTACTAGTTATACCAAAAGAGGTTTTCATACGATGCATTGTATTGTTTGCGATTTATATACCATTAGACATTCAATAGAATGCAAATACTTTGTTTTATAAACCATCAGTTGAAGTGAGCTGATGCAGACAGTTGAGTTGTGAAAGCATAAACATTCAGAAAGTATGTTTATATTTGTTCATATATAGATTTATCCAATATTATTAAACGTATATATCAAATACGTTTCTGCTTTATGACAACGATAAACGTTTTGCTTTTAATAATATGACAGTGTTTGCATAAATATATGTGAAGCCAAATTGATTAGTTTGTATAAACAACTTAAAACAGCAATATTTTATATTTTGACCAACTGGATGCATTAATGTTTCAATTTTGATACAGAAATCTTTCGCATTCATTGCTGTTTATTTTGATAAAGAGGATGACATTTGAATACATTTGAACATCTCAAGAATGAAAAGAAATCCATTACGTGTAAGGATCACACGGAAGATGGTTTACATTTTAAGCACTATTCTGTAATTTTGAGTTTTTGACAGGTGGGCGCGAGTAAAAGGGGTGTTTTTCAAAATTATAAGGCATGGCAGCAGGCGTTTATTTTCCTCGAGGATCTCCTATAAACGCCTGTTTACAGGCTAACCACAGGCGGGAAAAAACAAATTCAACTCTTCTTCCGGAGCGCAACAATGTTCCCAGGAGCCTAGGACTAACTCTTTCCTGACAACCCCATGACGTCATTCAATATTCCAAGGCCCCCTGCGATATCATAATTGTGAAACTATTGTACGTTATACTGTTTTACAATATATTTTACTTGAATGCATATTATCCAGCACTGTGGATCTGTATTCTATAGCTCTTTTTACAGAAGTTTTAAGAAGTGGCCAAAACTTTGGATTAGGTTGTTCACAATCTGTTTATCATCCGTGGATAATTAAAAACTTAATAACACTATAATGGAAACATAATACTATTACAATTTTTAAACAATGAAAATTGTATTTTATTGTAACAATCGCGCGCATATATATTACAACAATATTCTAATAATCTAAAATTAAGAAAACAGTTCTTTGCAATGATACAGGTCAATTTTCTCAGCACTCCAAGCAATAGTAGCTAATGGAAATAAGTAATTATGGATCATTCCACGACTGAGTGTATATCCACACCGGGCAAGCTTGAAAAATATGCCTGACCACAGTGGTAATCGAACCTACGACCTTTGGAATGCTAGCCCAATGCTCTGCCAACTGAGCTACGTGGTCTGGTCGGTTCGAGTATGTGATATTTAGGAACAGAATCTGGTTCCTTCGATATCAATGTAATCTAGTAATAATGATATTTTCTGTGTTAGTGCAATGTACTCAGGTGAATAAGATGCTTGTGATGTTACTCTGAGTGTATATCCACACCGGGCAAGCTTGAAAAATATACCTGACCACGGTGGGAATCGAACCTACGACCTTTGGAATGCTAGCCCAATGCTCTGCCAACTGAGCTAAGTGGTCTGGTCCGTTCGAGTATGTGATATTTCGGAACAGATTCTAGTTCCTTCGATATCAATGTAATCTAGTAATAATGATATTTTCTGTGTTGGTGCAATGTACTCAGGTGAATAAGATGCTTGTGATGTTAGACTTAGTGTATATCCACACCGGGAAGCTTGAAAAATATGCCTGACCACGGTGGGAATCGAACCTACGACCTTTGGAATGCTAGCCCAATGCTCTGCCAACTGAGGTACGTGGTCTGGTCGGTTCGAGTATGTGATATTTCGGAACAGAATCTAGTTTCTTCGATATCAATGTAATCTAGTAATAATGATATTTTCTGTGTTGGTGCAATGTACTCAGGTGAATAAGATGCTTGTGATGTTACTTTGAGTGTATATCTACACCGGGCAAGCTTGAAAAATATGCCTGACCACGGTGGGAATCGAACCTACGACCTTTGGAATGCTAGCCCAATGCTCTGCCAACTGAGCTACGTGGTCTGGTCGGTTCGAGTATGTGATTTCGGAACAGAATCTAGTTCCTTCGATATCAATCTAATCTGGTAGTAATGATATTTTCTGTGTTGGTGCAATGTACTCAGGTGAATAAGTTGCTTGTGATGTTACTCCGAGTGTATATCCACACCGGGCAAGCTTGAAAAATATACCTGACCACGGTGGAATCGAGCCTACGACCTTTGGAATGCTAGCCCAATGCTCTGCCAACTGAGCTAGGTGGTCTGGTCCGTTCGAGTATGTGATATTTCGGAACAGATTCTAGTTCCTTCGATATCAATGTAATCTAGTAATAATGATATTTTCTGTGTTGGTGCAATGTACTCAGGTGAATAAGATGCTTGTGATGTTACACTTAGTGTATATCCACACCGGGCAAGCTTGAAAAATATGCCTGACCACGGTGGGAATCGAACCTACGACCTTTGAAATGCTAGCCCAATGCTCTGCCAAGTGAGCTACGTGGTCTGATCGGTTCGAGTATGTGATATTTCGGAACAGAATCTAGTTCCTTCGATATCAATTTAATCTAGTAATAATGATATTTTCTGTGTTGGTGCAATGTACTCAGGTGAATAAGATGCTTGTGATGTTACTCTGAGTGTATATCCACACTGGGCAAGCTTGAAAAATATGCCTGACCACGGTGGGAATCGAACCTAGGACCTTTGGAATGCTAGCCAATGCTCTGCCAACTGAGCTACGTGGTCTGGTCGGTTCGAGTATGTGGTTTTTCGGAACAGAATCTAGTTCCTTCGATATCAATGTAATCTAGTAATAATGTAGTAATTGATATCGAAGGAACTAGATTCTGTTCCGAAATATCACATACTCGAACCGACCAGACCACGTAGCTCAGTTGGCAGAGCATTGGGCTAGCATTCCAAAGGTCGTAGGTTTGATTCCCACCGTGGTCAGGCATATTTTTCAAGCTTTCCCGGTGTGGTTATACACTCAGAGTAACATCACAAGCATCTTATTCACCTGAGTACATTGCACCAACACAGAAAATATCATTATTACTAGACCAGACCACGTAGCTCAGTTGGCAGAGCATTGGGCTAGCATTCCAAAGGTCGTAGGTTCGATTCCCACCGGGGTCAGGCATATTTTTCAAGCTTGCCCGGTGTGGATATACACTCAGAGTAACATCACAAGCATCTTATTCACCTGAGTACATTGCACCAACACAGAAAATATCATTATTACTAGATTACATTGATATCGAAGGAACTAGATTCTGTTCCGAAATATCACATACTCGAACCGACCAGACCACGTAGCTCAGTTGGCAGAGCATTGGGTTAGCATTCCAAAGGTCGTTGGTTCGATTTCCACCGTGGTCAGGCATATTTTTCAAGCTTGCCCGGTGTGGATATACACTGAGATTAACATCACAAGCATCTTATTCACCTGAGTACATTGCACCAAGACAGAAAATATTCCACGGCTTATTTGTCAGACAATATATGTATAATGTGGCCCGCAGGGCTACCTCCACACATATAGCTATTATGCGATTGTCACTAAGGTTAACTTGCGGATTTTGCAATATTCTTAGACAAAGTCAGGTGTGTACACTTCTAGAGTAATAACCTGGAATGACTCACAGTTAATAACACTATTAATAATGATAAATATAATGCACAAGAGCCAAGGACTGTTAATACTATTAACAATGGAAACATAACTTTATTATGTATACCATAACAACACTATTATATATATACCATAATACTATTAATAATGGAAGCGCATAACACTATTATATATCCTGTCTCTCTGTATAATTTTTTTTTACAAAGAACTGCGAAAAGCTACATACGTGTTAGCAGGTAAACTTATTAATGAACTTACGACACTATACAAGGCTATACAACACTATACAATGTTATACAAGACTATACAACACTATACAAGACTGTACGAGACTATACGGCTCTATGCAGCGTTATTCAAGACTATACGACACTATACAAGAGTACAACACTATATGACACTACACAATAATATACAAGGGTATACGACACTATACAGGGTGTATAAAAAAAGGTAATCGAACTTCAGCGCGCTATTATACGTGAATTTCTCGGCGTATGAACAATTGGTTTTCTTTGATATTCGGAAAGATCAGGCTTTTAGCTATTGAACGACAGGCTTTTCATGCCAAGAGGAGAAACAATAAGCATGCACTGTAAATCTCGCGGTGTTGCGGCAACACCAAAAATGTGTAACATTACACTGATTAGGTGTAACGCGGAATTAAACACTGTTCGAGTGTAACATTACACTTCCACAGTGTAGCTTTACACTATTTTAGTGTTTTGGTAACACTTACTAGGTGTAAAATAGAAAATATCCTAATTACACCTAATTCGGTGTAGATTTGCATTATAACGGTGTAACCTTACCTCTTCTCCCTGTTAATTTACACTTTGCGATGGTGTAAATATACACTTATTTGGTGTAAAATATGCCAACACTTGCAAAGTGTAAATTTACACTTTTCCTGCCGTATTATTACACCTAGAATGCGTTAAAATACGCTGAGCTGCAGTGAAGTAGAAACTAATGTATTAGTTGTTATTGCGGTGTAAATTTACCCTTAACTAGTGTAAATTTACCCAATGATTGTGTATGAGATAACACCATAATAATGTAAATATACACCGGTATGGTGTAAAAAATATGAATGCTTACTTAGTGTAAATCCACACTGAACCTGGAGTATAATTACATTAGGACCATGTTAAGATGCACTGATGTAGTGTAAAGTAGAAACGAAGTATTGACACCTTTTATGCTGTAAATTTACCCTCAAACGGTGTAAATTTACCCAAATCTTGTGTATGAAAAAACACCTTGATTGTGTAAATATACACCGGTATGGTGTAAAAAATATGAATGCTTACTTAGGGTAAATCTACACTGAACCTGGTGTATAATTACACTAAGACCATTTTAAGATACACTGATCTGATGTAAAGTAGAAACTGAAATATTAACGAACACCTATACTATGCTGTAAACTTACCCTCAAACTGTGTAAATTTAGCGATCTAATTCTCGTGTATGAGAAGACGCCATGATAGTGTAAGGTGTAAACCTATATCAGTGGTGTAAACATACAGAATTCGAATAGTGTAAAGTTTGTATGGGGACCAAAATATACTGACCGGCTTACCCTTCACATTAGGGCTTTTTGAAAAGTCGGTGTAAAAGTGTAAAGTATAAACTATTTTATAAGACTACCTTTAAACGGTGTAAACTTAAACGGTGCGTTTTGTAAGGTGTGCCATGCAGACCTCACATTGTTCATTTTTTATTGCAATCTGTTACCTCCATATATTAAGTTTTCCCAATCTAATCTTTTTTTGGTGGCCCCTTACTAGTTACTTCTACTTTAATTTGGCCAGGCTATACCCCCCCCCCCTCTCCAAATATGCCCTGCTGGCTATGGTGTACATTATATGTCATAAATCCCTCCTTCTCGGTGTTTATCCTCTACAAAATAAGACAGCTAGAATTTTGAAGATAGAATTAAGAGTTTCTATAAAAAACCGTACTACCAACCTCGTTCCCAGGGCTTCAGTGTGAGGGTTGCCGCACTACAGTTTAATTTGCACTGGATTGTCCACATGATTGAGATCAGTGCCTTCAGCAATCGCGTGCCATATATGGGCTCCCAGAAGGCTTAGCGGGCACACTTCGAGCGCATCGTTTGGAAATTTAGTAACGCTTGTTGATACGGCCGAGAATATGGCCAAGTTTTCTTAATATATTGAAGAAGAAAAGAAGAAATACTCCAATTTTTGAACACCCACACAACAACTTTAAATGTAAGTGTTCAACTATGTCAATATTCTGAAGTTTCGTATGTAAATATGTGCCATAAATTGTTGTATAATTTCATGTATATTTTTAACCGCCGTGCCGTTGGCCGATTGTATATTTTTGTATTTGGTTTCAACAATATATTGTTATTAAAACTTTGTGATCTTGTTTTGTATTTACAGATTATAATTCCAAGCAATAAATGCTGTCATACTATGTTATTCAAGCAAGTCAAACTGTCGAAATCATGATATATAAAACGACAACAAACTGGAATATTCACTACAGGCTACAACTAGAAGGTATGAATATTGTTTATAAACTTTATAATGTATTGACTGAGACGGTATCAATATTGACTCATTTAGCAAATATTGATATAATCTCCAAAGCAAGTTCTATGACTATGGATTTGTATGAGAGGAGAATAATTTTTCCTTTGTCTTTAATATTTATATTGTGCTATCAATAGATTGCTGAATTCCCTGAATACATTCAGGATATATGTTTTTCATATTTTTTTCTGTGTTGGTGTCATGTACTCAGGTTGTCGTACTCACCTACATTGGGCTAGTATTTCAAAGGTTGTAGGTTCGATTCCCACCATGGCCAGGCGTATTTTTTAAGCTTGCCCTGTGTGGATATATACTCAGAGTAACATCACAAACATTATGTTTCTCATATTTATACCTGAGGAATTCCAAGCTCAAAAATTATAGTGTACCCCTGAATACCCTGACAAAATATCCCAATATGCTAAGTACTATACAGACCCTAATATGGTGTAATAGTAAATGAGTCATGTTCACATACCGTAAAAACAATCATTTTCAAAAGAAATCTATCAGGCGCAGAACACAAATATATGAATATCCCCCCCCCCCGCATTTTTGGTCTAGCTACGGCCCTGGTCAAGTTGTGTGTTTATATGGAACTGAGGCAGACCAGATACCATCTGGAGTTCATTGTAGTGTTGTGCCAACTACCAAGAAGAATTCATGATCTATGTTTACTTGAGACTTTTCAGGCAGGTCAGCTCAAAGCACCTGTCTTTATTGCTAAATAAGAGCTGTTTACATTGCCCTCTGAAAATGTACTACCGTACGGAACAGATAAAATGGCATTCTTACTGAATGTACCTGTGCTTGGGCAAAGGTTTGAAATGCTATGTACGGTACCGGATATCATATCCAGGCTCAGGGCTGCCGAGAGAATTTGTTGGGCCCGGGGCAAATATTCTTTGGGGGCCTCATGACTAGACCTTAACTAGATTGCATGTGGAGCTACAGTACTGTAAGGGGCCCTCAATGTAATGATGCTGTGACCAATTTAAAGGACCTATTCAATTTTAGGCTCTCAATCTCAAGTTAGGGCCCTATTCCCCCTCTCGGCAGATAGTGGATAGTAAAATAATCTTACTATCCAGTATTTTGGAAGAAACCAGGTTTGACCTTTGAGATTTGTGAGCAAGGTTTTGGCAAAAGCCTTGTTTAGAGTGAAGCTCTTTGCTATGATTTCACATATCTTTTGAAGTCAAAGTATTATAAACACCCTCAATTTATAAACCAATTAAAATAATTATTTATCTTTAAAAATAAAAGTCTAAACCTTATATTATATCAACAGTATTTGACCGGATATCCTTCAACTATACGTAATAGCTGAAATCTGGCTGGATTGCAAAAAGTTTTATCTGGTGATTCAGAATTTTAACTTGATCAATGTTGGAAAACCAGGAGAAATGTGTTCCCTGGAGAAACACCCCACTATTGCCTCATCTTAAAAATAAGTTAGAATTTTGAACAATTTTTATCATAGCTTTAGAGTTGGGTTTTATAATATTTCCCTGGCCACTACCACGAGAATGAAATTAATTAATAATAATTAAGATACATTAGGGATGCACCGCTTAAAGCATTTTGCCATCCAGCTGAAGACCAGATATGCTGAATAGTTGGAAAATATTCTACCAGATTCTCCGGCCACATACTGGATATAGAGTGA